CCAGAGCCCCTTCGACCTCGATATGAGGTCGCGCTGCCAGTCAGAAGGGCTCTTGCCACCTCAGAGACTGATTGTGATGTAGGCCTTGCTCGTGCGGAGTTGGCACCACGAGGTCACTCCAAAATGGCCACCACGCCTCGTAGCGAAAGGAGATAGAGGCCGCCTGGTAAGTTGACTCTGAGGTGGAAGCCTCTCAGCAAGTCAGTTTTTAGCGCTGCTCCCACTTGTTTTGGCCGCGTGGCCGCGCTGCTGCACAGGCTTCTGAAGCACTCTTAGGAGTCACGTTTGGCAAGGCTAGAATGATGCACCCAATTTCCTCCGCCGCAGCAAGCTGTTAAGGTGTGCCGGCTTTAGGGTGCGTCTGGGTCGCCTTAAAGCCTCTAGAGTCTCGGCTGCGAATGGGAGCTCATCACCCCTGCACGCCCAGGAGTAGGACAAGCCCCTTCGGCCGAGAGGCAAGGACCGGGAGCCCTGCCTCCTTATGAGACTGACTAGCAGACTTGATGGCCAGCAGTCTGATAATTTAGAAATTTAGAGTATCCAATTAATCGAATTAAAACAGCAATTATTAGTATCTCAAGGAGCCAAAAACCAGTGCTTGGACCAGGAGACTGAGATGAAACTGGGAGCCAATAGGGAAGGATGGTGACTTTAAGAAAATTCCCTCAGTCTCTGAACCAATCAGGCTGTGACTTAACCCTGTTGTAGCCCCTCCTGCCGAGCTGCAGGAAAAGAGGTTCTAATTTTTTTTGAAACCCACCACTGATGCACTGGCATATATAAATAGGGACTTAGCCACACTGCCAGGCTGTCCCAACATCAGTACAGTGCAGCAATCATTTTTGGAAGGCAGCACATGCTCTCACCCACTGCAAAACCGACCTTCAGGTGCACTTCCCTGCTCTGCTTTCAAAGTAGTAATTCTCAGTTTCTTTCTTTCAAGTGTTTTCAAGTCCCATCTGTTTTATCTGCTGCTGTTACCTTTTTTTTAAGCCAACCCTGCATAAAGTTGATTGCCAAAGTTAGGGAACCTTCTCAATCAATTCAATGGTTGTCATAGCCTCTAAAGTCTCTGAGAGCTACCTTTAACAGTCCCTTGCAATAGTGCAGTCACTGAAACCTTAAGTTGTTGCATTTGATGCAACACAGCAATTTTTATTACTATTTTTCTCTCACAGACTTGCTTAATGACAAGAAATGATAAAAGGCTACACTGCTTATTTTAAATGGATAAGAGGGTAGCTCAGGGAAAGAAACGTTTCTGTTTTAAAGCTAGCTGTTGTACCTATATCCATGCACATTTTAATGCTTTGGTTCGGGTGTATAAATTAAATTTTTTGTGTGTTTTGTATATTTATGTGCACATGGACATGCGCACACTCACACACACACAGATACACCCAAAAGTTATGTATGTCCTGTAAGACCTGCTCAGAAGGTGATAATTGGAAGTTGCTTCCCTGGAAAAGGAAATTGACAATGCACAGCAGCAGAGGAATCGGGCTGGTGGGAAGCTGTGGTACCCTGTAGTCCAGATTCAATCCTTTGCAAGTTTTTGGTAAACTGTCTCAGACCAGACAAGTTTTTTTTTCTTAAAGCCGTTCAAAGTCAAGCGGGAATGAGTAGAGAACTGGAGCAGCTTAAAGTGTAGTACAAAGATGCCTACCTCACGATCAATTCATTTGTAACAGAAACCTAGCATGGCCAATCCTTATCAGGTTAACCCATGCCCTTCAGTTTAAATAGACTATGAGCCATGTTATTCTGAAATATAAATCAGAAAGCAAGAGAAGTTCACCTGATAAATTCATATATGAAAGAACAATATAATTCAATATAATTTGCTATGATTTTTCCAGTCTGACAAGGATGGGCACTGATAACACTACATCAACTTCAAATTATAGTGCTGTCCTTGGAACAAGATTTGTGCAGAACCATTACCACAAACAGAGGCCTGAGTTCTTCAGGAAATGCATTCCCTAAAAGAACAGAATTGCCACTTAATATTTCAAGAGACATCATTTCATATTGCTTTCATTTTAATTTTAACAAAATAAAATGCAGCAGCATGCACAGGAAGACTATCAAACCAATAAGTCTGATGAAGGCAAATGATGAAGGCAAGTTAGTCTTGTTTATATTTCACTATTTAGAGAGGAAGGGGGAATCATTAGAAGTATCTGCCATATTATTATCTGAAATGTTATAGGGCAGTGGTGGCAAACCTTTTTCTTACAGCGTGCCAAAATTGTGCACATTTGCATGTGCGCCCCCTCACGAATTCACGCATGACCCCTCCCCAGGCTCCAGAGACTTTCCTGAAGCCTGGGGAGGACAAAAACAGCCTTCCCTGCTTCCCCGGAGGCCCTCTGGAAGCTGGAAATGAATCATTTCCAAACTTCCGGTTGGGCCGTTGGGGCTGTTTTTCGCCCTACCCAGCCTACGAAGGTTTTCCTGAAGCCTGGGAAGGGTGGAAATGGCCTCTCCTGGCCCTCCGGAAGGGCAAAAATTCAGCTGGCCGGTGTGCACATGCACGCTGGAGCCAAAGGCTGACATGCCACCAAATATGGCTCCACGTGCCATATCACGGGTATAGAGTCTCCTACTTGAGTAGGAGGTTGGACTAAAAGACCTCTAAGGTCCCTTCCAACCTTTTTATACTATGTTCTATTCTCCAAAGCACCTGAAGGCAGGACAAGAAGCAATGTAGGGAAACTAATCAAGGAGAGAAACAGCCTAGAATTAAGGAGAAATTTCCTGACAGTTAGAACAATTAATCAGTGGAATGACTTGCCTCCAGAAGTTGTGGGTGCTCCAACATTGGAGATTTTTAAGAAGAGATTGGACAACCATTTGTCTAAAATGGTGTAGGGTTTCCTGTCTGAGCTGGGAGTCCTTTCCAAGGTCCTTTCCAACTCTGTTATTCCATTATTCCATTCCAATATTATGCCATCACAACACAAGCCTCAAGCTTTGTGTAGATGCATCATGACTTTGCACACACATCTAAAAAGGATAGGCTTTGGGATGCAACAAAAAAATGCTGATGTCATTTTGACAACAGGAGCCAAAGACACAGATGACCACTACAAAGTATTTTTTAATCAGTTACTGCTCTTCGGATGTTATGAATACTAGTGCTCTCAACAGCAATACCCCCCAAAACTACATTTAGTAATAGTAAAAGCTAATATTGTAAAATGACAAAAGCCTACGAAAAGACACAAATGAAGAGGAAAACCAAAAAGTAGAGATCAATATATCAGGAGAAATTGTTCAAAATGCTACCCAAAAGAAGATGAAAGTATTTCTGGGAAAAAACATCAAAATGTCTTGAATTTTGCAAATTTACAAGTAAAAGTTTAGAGACTATATGGCTATGTAAAAAGCTGCATCTACTTTAATTATAGGAGAAATTATTAACAATCTATTACAAAAACATTTTACCCAACTCTAAATACATGTTTATTTGAAAGAGGTTTGAGACTTAATTTAAATTTCTGCAACACCAACCAGACATGAGTAGGGGACAAGAAGAGCAAATGACCACACCCACAAGATGACCTTATCACCCAATTGTGACAGCTTGCAACGCTTTGCATGTGACAACCTGAGACAAGTAAGAAATTGTATTTGCCTACAATACCGCTCTATTTGTTGTTATTTCATGCCGCTGCACTTAGACAAATTGTCTTGTGTAATCTGGATATTCAAAAAGCATATCATCTTATATTTGATTGATAATTGGCTGTCTTATTTGCAAAGCAAATCCTGAGGTGATAAATGTTTTACAAATTTGCTAACTTAAAACAGTTCTGTTTTCTGCATCTCTAGCTTAGAACTTTCAGATACAAACTGAAAAATCAGGATAACAACTAAATGGATACACTATCTCCTATCAGTAGTAATTAGAGTACTGGATTAGGACTGAGGCAACACAGATTCAATTCCACACTTGGCCATGAAATTCAGTAGGTAACTTTCAGCTAATTATCTTACCTATTATCACAGTAATAACAATTCTAGTTAGTGTCATAGGAGCAAACCAAGAAAAAGGTTAGGGGAGGTTCTATATATGTATGCCATACTCACTTTGTAGAAAGTGAAAGGAAGGGTATCAAGTTTTAGCACAGAGTACAAACTGTATTTTACTACCATTTTCATTCAATCTGTTGAAAGAAAATTTATTTTTGACATTTTCTTAAGAGATTATTAGAATTTCAGTATAATTATCATGGGTTAAATGAAATGTTCTTACGAGATGTCCAAGGTACTGTAGGGGAGAAAAATAGATACCTTCTTCAAAGGAAGGAGAAAACATTTGAGAAATCCTACATTCCAACTCCATACTAGCAGCCTTTCAGCTTAATAAATTAGTTAAATAAAGATGTTCTTTTTTTTAGAAATGATCATTGACTATTACATGTGATACAAGAGATACATGAAGATACATAATTCATACAAAACTCTTGATGACAGTACTCACTCATGAGTAATATTTTAATACTGGAGTTCTGAATTACTTTTAATAATGCTGCTTTCTATAAAATGGAATTGACATTTGTACTACATTGTCTATGGCAATATCTGATAGAGAATTCATTCTTGTGTCTTCATAAATATTTCCATTGGGTTCTTAACAAATGAGATGCATCATATTTTGTCATGAAATGTCTGAGAAATCAATAGACTAAAAGGAAAGGATCAAGGTTATATGTGGCAGCACAGAGCAGGAACTGCATTTAATCTGACAAGAGTAAATTACTATCATTGACAGTAAACCAGAAAACTGGATGCTTTTAACTAAAATGTTTTCTTTACATGGCTACGTTTCTGGAGCCTTATCATGCAGAATTCCCCATTATTACCTCTTTTTGTTTACAAAACTGCCCAGTATGTATTTTATAAGAATGTAAGCCATATTATAAAATCACTGTCCTGCTTACATTAATATTATATTGAATTAATGATATAGGCAATCTCCTGTTTTTCACAGTTTAAGATGCCACTTGGGGCATGTTTATCTGAGGATCATATTGAATATAAAGTCTTGTTTCTAAATAAACATCACAGAATTTAGCTGCAAATTCATCAATTATTTTCTGTAGCTTTAAACTGAAAGGAAAAAAAATCAATATACAATGCATTTACTATATCTTACTTTTACTGTTAACATTTTGGAAAATCTAAAAATGTGTACCAATAATGTAATCTGAACATTTTATTTTTAGTTTATTAAATGTTTACTCTGGAGTCTGCAATTTTTCTAGGATGCCAAGAGCCATTGATAGATAAAGGAAAAGATTGTGGACATAATTAAGAAGGGAATAGCCAGGCAATTTGCAGCATAAGATTCAAAGCAGTAATGGATTTAGATAAAAAATTAATTAAAAGGGTGGTAAAATACAGATGAAATAGTCCATTTTAGCAACTGAGGAACAGGAAGTATTTAACTTACCAGCTTAAAGTACAAATTGTTGACCAGCTTGCCAGCATCTCTCTATTTCTTTCCTTTTACAAGATCTGCTGGTAAACTGGAGCCAAAAAGAACAGGAAGCATCAAATAGCATGAGATGAGTTTGTACTCCAAGGCAGAGTTAAAGAACGTTTCTAGACATATGCCTATTTAATAAAAATAAACTCCACTGAATTCTTGTGTTATAAATGATGTTATAAATATTGCATTTTCTATAGAATTCTAGAGCTAGGATTTTCCTGTGACACCTTGCTGATTCGGTAGATTAAAGCTTTCTGCCTCTTCATGGCATCACCAATATCACTAGGATAACACCACCATAGACTGTATATTCCCTATATTTATTCTGAACAAATCAGTTCTGCATGGTATTCAATGACTGCATAGACAGGAAACAATTTTGAATTTGATTTGTTCCACAATCTTTCCCACTAAATATCCTTCCAATCCCAAGTAGCACTGCAGTTATCTTCACCAGAAGTTGGCTTCCAAATAGTGATGGTAAGACTACTAGAGTTTACTTATTTTGTTATTTATTTATTAAATTTGCCACCCATCCGACCACAAGGTGATTTTTAAAGATGCAATAGACAATGCAAATCGCCTGGAATCAGATGGCTGAATATTCCTTTAGCATAGATCCCACTTTAAGATAATTGGCCCCTCACTTTTCAGTCATATCTATCACATTGGCCCTACTTAAGAAGGCCTTCAGTTTTCTTGAGTCTAATAGTAAGTACTGCAGGGGCAAAAAACATGCAGGACATTGTTTCTGGAATTCTTTCCAACCCTATTTGGTAATTGTCAAGAGGTGACATCTATCCTTTTGAATAATGAAGTAATTTGTGGTTATGTGCTGATGCTGTCTATTTATCTCTGAAGGAACAATCAGATTTTTAAGCAAACGTTAACACTGTCTTTTTTTAAGGATATAATCAGGACAGGCTAGTTTCATATCTTTTGTCTCCATATTTGTTGGGATCTAATCAAGGAGGTGCACCTATGTCACATTTGTGTGTGTGCCTGTTTCTCCTTGTGCTGTCCCCGTCTGAATCCATTCTAACTTCTTAGGGAAAGGTTTTCACTCTCGGGTATGATTGGGATGACAAAACAGCATTAATGGATGCAGGAAACCCAAATCCTACATCTATGTGACTATTTTCCTTTGTTTGCTTTTAAATAATACCTTAAGGCTGATTATTCTGTCAATCATTCACTCATGCAATATACTCAAATAGCAAACTCCTGCTTAAAATTCCTATGAAATGAAAGTACAACAGCACATTTAAAATTTACAATCAAAAATATTTTAAATTTAATTTAGTCAAAAAAGCAAACAAAAGAAAATGGAAAATTGAAATATGAGTTAGCAAAAGTTAGGGGCCAACCTAGTCTATATTGTAGTTTCATAGTTAAAATTCAGTTGCTTCATCACTATAATCTGTAAAGTAATTTATTATTTGCTTTAATACATAATTGTCCAAAATATTCAAAGTCTTCTGTACAAAGTTAGATTTGGATCTAATTTGTATCCCGAATGTTTAAATCCAAATATTAATTCAAAAAAAATCTTAATATTCTTTGTTTCTAAAATGGTACAATAAGGGGGGGAAATCATTGTGGTGTATAAGTTGGAGTGCTAAACTAGAACTGGGGAAACTTGATTGAAAACTTAATTCAGATGTGTGACGTTTCCTTGGCTTGTCCCAAATAAGGTAAGAGATATCTTGCATTCTGAGACAACAGATGGGATATTAATGTAATAAATAAACTTAAAAAGATTAAAAGACACTCTTCTATTGACATAGCTTCAAAGTCATAAGTGATTTTTCATTAAGAATCAATAAGCAATGGCCCATAAAAGTCGAGTCTGATCTTTGATGATATGAAGCCATGACCTCTGTTACAGAAATACACATATTAGCGGCTAACTGCAAAACTATGGAACCCATGTTATTTCTTCACAAGAGACAGCAGGACCACAGAAAAATGAAGCCGAAAACAAAAAATTGGGAGTGCATGCCAGAATGTCTCTCTCTATACACTGTGTTTTCAGAGAAACCTTTAATACTCATTCATCTGAGACATATCTCAGCTTATCAAAAGGGGTTACATTATTTGCTGCATCAATGCCCATGGAAAGTAAGACTGTGGTTTACTCTCATGGTGTATAAGAAACAAACCAAAACAATCTCCATAAACATGATAGAAACAAATTCAATGTAGCCAATGACATAATATCTTCCTCTCCCATTTATCAAAGCCATTCCCAATACCATTACACTTTGGAACAACTTCCTTTGTCCAATCCCATTTTATTTTATATTTGATTTTTATGGCTCAGATTTGACTTAGTGATTTTAATTCAAAAGCATAATAAGGAGAAAGGATTTCACACTTCACATTCTTTTGTAATCAATCTGCCTTTTTGTTTTAAAAGAATATTTTCCCTCCCCCCCATATGCATGCATGCATACATACATACATACACATACATATAAAATCTGTTTCAAAGCCAAAGAGCCAGCACTATCCAAAGACGTCTCCATGGTCATGTGGCTGGCATGACTAAATGCCGAAGGCACACGGAACACCCTTCCCACCAAAGTGGCTCCTATTTTTCTACTTGAATTTTTACATGCTTTCGAACTGCTAGGTTGGCAGAAGCTGGGACAAGAAATGGGAGCTCACTCCATTATGTGGCACTAGGGATCTGAACCGCTGAACTGCCAACCTTTCTGATCAACAAGCTCAGCATCTTAGCCACTCAGCTACTGCATCTACATACATACATACATACATACATACATACATACATACATACACATACATACATACATACATACACACACACACACACACACACACACACACACACATTACTTCACCTCAAATAAAGCCTGCTGGTATATTTTGGTTAGTTTTCTCCAAATGAAGGAGATGGAATAGGTGCATTATAGCAGGGATCCACAATCCTCAGGCTGCAGCCCATTAGTAGGTCATAGCCTATTCGGAACCAGGCCACACAAGCAGCATGCTGGTGTGCATGTGCATGCCTGCAGCTCAAATTACATGAATGGCATGCCGGCATGTATGCACAGACATGCACAGCTCAACTTGCACAAATTAAGCTGTGTGTATCTGCACGTGTGAGCTAGCTCACTGCTCACATGGCCTGGTTCCCCACTCCCCTGCCAGCTGGGCCACCAAGCTACAAAGGTTAGGGACCGCTGCATTAACACGGACAACCAAATCTTTAAAATATATACTTTATATACAGTATGTATGAAACACATCCACCATGTTATGCTTTACAAAGTGGGGGGGTGTGACTCATTGACACAAAAAACTTCCATGCACACACCCAAGACTACTTTTGAGCAGCTACAGATTTGTGAAACAGAATAATGGGGCAACCTGTACATTTATCAATAAATACACTAAACAGCCAAGGGGATATTACAAATTACTTTAAGCTGTCTACCATGGACTTTACGTGTTTCTTAAGAGGTCCCTAAGGGGGCGTGCAAGGGCACACTAGCTTTCCTACTGTCCCTATTCTACTGTCCCATTTATATGTACTCTTTTTAACTGTTTATGGCTATGTTTTGCTTATTTATATCCATTTATTTGTGCCATTTTATCATGTTTTCATACTTGTTTGCAAATATAATAAATAAATAAATCCATACTTCCATGTCACTTTTTTAACCATTTTCTAAGCACTTTATTTATCGTCATGCATGCTTTATTTCACATGCTGTGATACTACTTAGCAACCTATCTTCAGCTTCATATTCATGCAAAAACATTTCATAATTCAAGCCTATTCACTTTGTCATACATTTCCTTAAGTCAACAAAAATTTCTCTCTGACATTTATATCAGTGATCAGTGATCTGCTGAAGAGCAAAAATATGGTCTGCATTATGCCTGCCATAATCTTTAATCAAAAATTATAATTATAATTATAATTTTAGTAGGCTATGATTTTTTACTTGCAAGCCTTTCTAATGGATATGAGAAATACTTGCTCAAAATGTTATGATTATTTAAAAAAAAATACAGATAACCCAGATGCGGCCTTCACCTATCCATTATTCCAGTGTTTTTCAACCTTTTTTGTGCAAAGGCACACTTTTTTCATGAAAAAAATCACGAGGCACACCACCATTAGAAGATGTTAAAAAAATTTAACTCTGCCTATATTGACTATATATAAAGTAATTCTCCCACGGCACACCTTACACTATGTCACGGCACACTAGTGTGCCGCGGCACAGTGGTTGAAAAACACTGCATTATTCTACAAGTTTTCATTCTATAGTTAGTCTGCATCAAAAAGAAGCCACAGTTTGTCTTTTCAACAAGTTCAATCCCTGATTGAAGGAAATAAGAGACCACTGAGCAAAGTGAAAGTCAGATGTTCATGTTTTCATCACTTGTATTTGTTGCTTTAATATAAAAAAAGAAAAAGATTTTTTTTTAAAAGGAGAAACACAAAAAGAATAGAGCAAACTCACATTATATGGCATATAATGCAGCCTCTTTTTTTAAAGGCATTAAATCTTGACCACACAAGATATTCATTGGTATTCATTACACTTGTAAAGAGGCAACTTAAATATAGCAAGTGAACAACTTACTGAAAGGTCCTTGGTACTCTCTGAGTTTGGTGGTTTTCTTGCAGATGTTTTATTACCCAAACTAAGTTAACAGCATTAGTGCTGTATTACCTAATTTGGGCAATGAAATGTCTGCAAGACAACAACCAAGCTGAGACCACCAAGGATCCCTCAGTTCAACCTTGAACTACAAATATTGTCCTTTATTGAAACATTTTACTGTAATCCAAAATCATAAAGCTGGAGATGCAATAACCATGGGCCAAATTATCACATTTGCTATCCCTCAAGCTCAGTAAGTCCATAATATTTACATAGTGGTAATTTTTCAAGTGTTTCATATGCCATTCAAAATTATGCTCTCATCTTTAATAATGATCACTGCATCATGATATTGTTTAATGAATATCAAACCAAAATGGAAGGAAGTGTTCCTTCATCCAATTCATGCCCTTATCATGTCTCAGATGGACTACTACAGTTCACTTCACATAGACTGTCCTTAAAAACTTACTGGCAGCTTTAGCAATGGTCCACGAGTTTGCTGAACCATTATATTACTTACATGACACACCATTGCTTCAGTTTCTATATTGGTTGCTAGTTTGTTCCTGGGCGCAATTCAGGATGCCAGGCCTACCTTTAAAGCTTCACACAGACTCGGGGGAGCTAAAGGTTGCCTTCCAAATTAGGTTCTGTCTGCCCAATTTAGTCAACTAGAGAACATCGTATGAAGCTGTCCTTGGACCAGAAGCTGAAGTGTGAGGATGCATAAAGTTGAGAGTTCTTCTGGGAAGCTCCATGCTATGGGAACATGGCTGCTCTTGTCTTAGCTTTCTATAAATTGGCAAAAACTAGCTATTCCAGAAGACATTTGTTGGTTGTTTATGGAATGTTAGCACTGATCTTAATTATTAATTTACATTTTAAGGTTGTGGTTTTTTATGAGTTATCCTTGTAAATTGTTTTCATGTTTAATATCAATATACCTCTTAGAATGTACATTTGTAATGAGATAGCAGACATAGGCAATAAATACCAGTAAATAAATAACCAACCAGGTCAGTGCTACCAAGGAAAAAGAAAAGAGCAAAGCAGAAACACTGTCTAAACT